TTTTTTTTTTTTTTTTTGTTTTGTTTCTGTGATGTCCTACCGGTTGTCCGAGGCTCGGCCATAAAGTCCGAGGATGGGGAATCATCGGGCTACCGGTAGTCCGAGCTTCGGACTCTATAGCTGAGAGAGGTACTGGTGGTTTAATGCCCCGAAAGTTTCGGAGGCCCGAGGTACCAGACCTGAAAGGCTGACGCCGCCAGCCAAAACATTTTTTTTTGTTTCGCAGGCGCGTTGGCGCGAAAAGGCGCGCAGGGCATATTCAGGCTCGATAGCTGGGCCAAGTACTGGTGGTTTCAGGAGATCAGATCAGTATAGTGAATGGCCCCTAGCTCAGTTGGTCGAGGGCTGGTCTGTTATGCACCTTTGTGGTTTAGGGTGTGGGTTCTGTGGTACCATGGCACCTGTGCTTTTTCATCTATTGGGTCAAAGAGAAGTTTCCACTGGCGCTCCTTTCTTAAATGGTACTTTAATAACTCTGGTGCGCCATATTGGATATTGGTATTCTGTTCTGTAATATTCACAGTTGTGGCGGAGGGTGTGGGTTCGGATCTTCGGGCCTGCACACTCCGGTGTGATGTTCTGAATATTGATGTTGTGGATTCACGGCGCAGAGCTTAGGGCCACTAGCGCACTGTGTTTGCACTGTAGCCCAGATGGATTGGGTGCCTGTGTGTTCACTGGGGAATCCGCAGGTTGTTGGTTCGAGCGTTGCCATGCCCGGTGGGGCACCTGTGGCGCATCGTGCAGGCCAGGCGTTAGACCTCGAAATACACCCGTTCATCAAGCACTTAGGTTGCAAGTCCGATCCCTGCCATGCCCGGCAAGTAGATGGTAAGGGGTTGCCTATTCCCTGTCCGAGCCTAGGTGGATGGTGCTCTGTTGACTAGGGGGTGCTGAGCCCACTGTCTTGTGCCGGGATAAGGTTGCAGCTGGCACCACTCTGGAGCATCTACAGTGAGGCGGCTGGGATTAGATATGTGCCTGCTGTCTGCGATCCAGCAGCTGGGCTACAGCGCATTCGCCTACGAGGGTCAGGCACCCCTTGGGGGGATGGCCCAATAAATTCAAGTTGTACCCGTTGGGGGTAGGCGGTTCTTGGTGAGAACGGAAGGGCTGCTTGCAGCACCTCTGGGGGACCGAGCCTAATGCCTGTGCGACTGGGTACCGTAAAGGTCTCCTGGTGTGGGATACTCTCTGCCGTTAACCCTGAGGTGAGGGGGGTTGGTACCTGCCCTCTTGAGCTGCAACTGCCGTGGCTAGTAACTGGCATGTACAACACCCTGGACTTATTTTGGAAAAACAAAAAAAAATGTACAATTTAATTATTAAGTGATCACTGTGCACTCAGTGACTGGCCTCTACAACACCTTGGACTTTAAAAAAAAAAGAAAAAAAAGAAGGGGGAAACTACACAGGAGTCACAAAAATGAGTTATAATTGCACTACAGGCCAAGGAATTGCAGTTCGGGCAATGTAAACAACTGAGGCACAGCTAGAAACAACTTCAACTGCAACTCATCCAGCACAGGGCTATTGTTAAGGGCCTCGTTCCACTACTCGCCATCCGCCACAAACAGTGGCGAGACTTGGCGAGGCCGAAAAGTGCATTTTTCTGGTGGAACGGATCTTGGTTCCATTACATCGCCGCCGCCACGTGCGCTGTGGTTGCTGTCCCGGCCTGCTCCCCGGACTGTGGCGGATGGCGAGCTAATGGAACGGTGGCGGCCTTCTCTTCACCATGGACTCGGACTGGAAATCACTCCCGGTGCAGCGAAAACTCGCCACCACTAGGGGACAACGCAGGTCTACTGTCAGGACCGCTGTGTCAGGGGCCATGGTCACACGAAGCATTTCGCGGAGGGATGAGGAGTAGCACCTCCACGAAGGGCCATTGCAGGCAGGGGAAATGGAAAGCCTTGGCGACACATCGCCAAGTGATTTCGAACCCACATTCTGACAGCGTCCATTTCGTGGTTATTGGCGATGCAGTGGAACGAAGTCGCATCCGCCATGCGTGGCGGATGGCGAGTAGTGGAACGAGGCCCTAACAATGGCGTAACAGACCCTGCATAATGTTATAAGTTGATGGACTGTAATTGATAGGCAGTCAGGCCTCATTAGATTGGACTCTATGACTCAGGTTGTTTTTGAGATTCTGTTGATCAGCTGGATAGGGTTCTCCCATCATCTGACATATATGGTTTAACGTGCATACATAGGCAGGTGGAGTTGTAAAAAAAAAAAAAAAAAAAAAAAAAAAAAAAAACTGAGCTTTCTGGCCAAGTAGGGTGCCCGAAGTGCAATTGCAAACTGTATCTTGCCCCATGATAGTGCAATTATAACTCGTTTTTCGACTCTACTGAAGTTACCCCAAAATGGGCCCAGTGCCCAAGGCTTCCAATTATTCAAACATACATCATTGAACACACGCCTCTCCCCGTCACGCATAGTCCCATCCTAGTACATGTTTGATGCACCTTAAACCACCAGTCCTTCCTAAAGTCGTGCCTGTTAACAACCCACGATTTTAAGAAACGTACGGGCCACTACAGAAGCGCCCAAATTCATCCGACTAGAAACGTCTCTACTCTCTATTTGTTTTCCACGACCCATATCTGGACTGGTGAATTAAACCACCAACCAGTGCTTCCCAAGGTAGGAGTGTGCATGCAGCCAGTCATTGCTACAGTGCTAAGACATTTCCACTCCAATGAATTTGTGCCCACTCTCCAGGCCTGTTCATCCCACCACGTTCTGGCGCGCATGCAGCCGTGGCTTTCAGAGGTACTGGTGGTTGAAGTTTCTGCCCCCTGGGGCCAAGTCCCACTACCTTCTTCCCCCAAACATAACGCATATGGGTCTGTATTCAAGTTCCAGAAAGTTTGAAAATTCGAATAGAACGCCTATGAGCTGTATTCGAAAATCACGGCTGTTTGAATAGAGCGCATATTAATATGCATTGTATTCGAATAGAAAGGAATGTAGCATTGTGTTCGTTATAACCCAACTGCGTTATGTTCGGGGGAAGAAGGTAGTAGCGCTGAGGAAAGTCAACGCCTTAATCTGGACGTGTTTGAGGAGATGTGAAGAAATGGCATTGAGTTTCCTCAACCACACAAATCTCCACAAACATGCCCAGATTCAGGCATTGAGGAAACTCAACGCTGCTAGTGGGACTTGGCCCCTGATCATTTTCTATAAGTGAGCGGCGGCGGCGTATGCTGTCTTGACTTTTGCTATCTGGGCTTTGGGATTGGCCAGAGGGTCATTTTGTTGAGACCACATGCTGTTCAAGATAGGGTTATTTAGTGCCAGTGCTCTGCCCCAGAAGGTCATTTTGCCTGAGTGGACTATGCTGGATGGCATACGCGCACTCCACTTATTTTGTATTACACATTATGTCCTCCAGGAGAGTAAAGCCTCACAGCCTTGATTTTCGAATACAACTCATATGCGTTCTATTCGAATTTTCAAACTTTCTGGAACTTGAACACAACTGTAGTGGACCCACCAGGTGTGGTGCTCCACTAGGGATGATGACGAAGATGGAGGATGAGGGAGGAGCGCGACAACACAGCGCAGCTCCCACGCAAGACTCCTGCGCACGTACTCCAAATCGTGCAAGTGTAGAATGGTCTCGAAAACAGACAGCGGACTGACGGGACTGGACTGGACTGGCTGGTACCGACAGAGGTACCGGCCTGGACTGGACTGCCCCGAATAAAACACAGGCCTGTGAGAACAGGCCAAGGGGCTGGTATCACAGGCCAACCAGAGGTCCGCTACACAATCCTCGGTCTGTGATGGATCGCCTAGATACAAGCACGCTTCCACCAAGAAGCGGAACTCTACCAAAGAAAAGAAAACCTGAGTAGTCTAGGATGCGGAGCAAGCTCCATGCTGAGTCCATGTGATGCAACCTAGGCTAGAAAATGTCACAAAACAGCAATGTCACAACTAACAGCCTAAGTGAAAGCAGAAGCAAGTTCAAGCAACTACTAGCATACATGTCCTAGGAAAGCAGAAGCAACTAACTAGCATACATGTCATAGGAAAGCAGAAACAACTAACTAACATACATGTCCTAGGAAAGCAGAAAATAGTGACAACTAGATCCCAGAATGTTGGAGGCAGTAGCCTCAGTCTGAGAACAACCGACTAGTGTATAAGTCCTAAGAACAGCAAAGCAGAACAGCTAAATCCTAAAAATGTCAGAGGTAGTAGCCTCAGTCTGAGAGCAACAAGCAACAAGTCAACCATATGTCACAGGAGGAGTGTCGCAAACCAAAGGGTGGGATGGTCTCTGAGGGTGGCGGATGCAGCCTAGGGGTCGATAACTCCTAAGGGCATCCACACATAGTGACAGGGGGAACACATGTCATCAGGCTCAATGAGGGTAGGGGACTGGGAACGAACAAAACCAACGACCCTAACAGATAGAACACCAGGGCGGGTAATGCTCGACTAAAGGGTGACCGCTATGGAGGGTCGACCATGCGCGGGAACAAGGGAGCCTGGTATACAAGGCGCACCTAGATGAAGCATGGGGGGCTGCCTAACTAGGGCGTGAGGGCCGGCAGAGGGTAGAGGTGATGGGTAGGGGAATCATACAAATGACGAAAGTCGGAGCTAGATCCGTAAGGTGGAAAGCCAGGGCAACGCTACGGTCCCGATGCCTATGCGTATACCAAGGGAGAGCCCAACTCAGAGGAACCCGGCTAAAGGGATACCATCATGCGACACAACAAGGGTACTGTACAAGGTAAGTGGTAAGAGAGTGATGACGTCTGGAGTAGGCAGAGCTGATCGTGACGAAGTCCATGAAGCTGTCGATGACATCCACGATGAGAAGTCCGGAATGTCGTCGAGGAAGAGCCGCAACGTCGACGAGCTGAAGTAGCAAAACTGATGTGGATGGAGTACTGAGAAGTCAAAGACGTAGGAAGGTAAGTCAGAGTCAATCGTCGTATCGAGCAGGACGACGACGAGTGCGTTGTCCGGCTGCTGTTGAAGGTCTACCTCAGATGGAGCAGGCTCGACTTCAGCGGTCTCCTCAGTCGGGGGAGAGGGAGGAGGGTCAGTGGGCTGAGGAGGAGCAGTGAACCCAACACGACGAGCACGGTCATAGGCACGCACCAACATGCGAGCGTGTTGCAAGTGCTCGAGGGGCTCCCAGGTAGCCTCCTCATCAGGGTAACCCTTCCAACGTACGAGATACTCGACGTGGGGGGGGTTGTCGTCGGTGACTCGGCGACCAATGATGTCTGAAACGAGGAACTCCTCGTGGCCGTACACCATGATGGGTGGAGGGCGCTCGTATGGTCGTCCAGCGAAACGCTCAGACGGTCTGCGGTAAGGACGCAGTAACGAGACGTGGTAGACATCGTGCACACGAGTCTTCTGTAGATAGTCGGGTAGCTTCACACGGAAGCTGACCGGGCTAAAAACCGTATCAGAACCGACGGTCTGGAGGATGCGGCATGGGCCAAAGAAGCGACGCGGAAACTTGCGAAGCGTGTCTGCTTCGAGCTGTAAGTGGCGGGCGTCGATAATCACATCATCACCGACTTTGAATGGATGATCCATCCGCGATCGGTTCGCACGTGCTGCCATGCGAGTCTGAGAAGTGGCTATGAGTTCATGTGCGGTCTTCATGATCGACGTCATGTGTGCAACCCAATCATTCAGCGCGGGACAACTCGTGTCGGGGTGCATTTGTGACGGTCGAAGGAAGTCCGCGGGAACACGAGGGTGATAGCCGAGGCCGCAATAGTAAGGCGACATCCCTGTGGTTGGCGAGACGGTGTGGTTGTAGGCTATCTCCGCGTGGGCAAGATGGAGATCTCACTGCTGGTCGTCACGAACAATCTTTCGGAGAATATCTCCGAGAGTCCTGTTCGTGATCTCGGTCTTACCATCAGTCTGAGGATGGTAAGACGAGGAGAAGCAAAGCTGAGTGTCGTAAACCTCGTGGAGCCGTCGCCAGAATCGACTGGTAAAATGCGGGTCACGGTCAGATATGATGCTCAGAGGTAAGTCGTGGTCACACACGACTCGGTCAAACACGATGTCGGCGACCTCACGTACACTGATGGCATAGTGGCACGGAACAAAGCGTGCACGCTTCGTGAAGCGGTCGACGACGACCAGGATAGCATCATGACCGCGGGGGGTCGGAGGTCGAAGAGGACCGATAAAGTCCATCGAGATGGACTGCCAACGACCCTCAGGGATAGGAAGAGGTTGGAGCAAGCCATAAGGAAGGTGGTTCGTACTGTTCACCTCTTGACAGGTGGGACACTCGGCAACGTAGTCCTTCACAAAGTCCTTGCGCTTCGGCCAGACGTACAGGCGGCTCACACGAGCCAACGTATTGTGGAAGCCCATATGACCGACGGTTGCCTGGTCATGGAACTCTGCTACTTCTCAGACACGTAGCTGTCCAGTGGAGGGAACACAAATACGGGGGTCTCTGGTGCCCTGTGAATCATGCCAGTACACAAGACCGTTGTCCCCGAGAGAGTAGTTTGGGACGGTCTTGCCACTCCGAAGGGTCGCGTGAATGTCGCGATAGTCGGGGCAGTGGCGGTACTAAGTGCGAAACTCGTCGATCACCGAGTGGTGGACGGTGGTGACCGAGATGAAAGAGAGCTGGATCTGCTCCTGGTCGTGGTCAGGGCACCGGGATAAGACATCTGCGAACCGATTAGTCTCACCCTTGATGTGCTCAGTGGTGAAACTAAACTCGGATAGGTCGCGCCACCAGCGAGCCTGTCGAGGAGTGAGCTTCGGTTTTGTTAGAAAAGTCTGGACAACAGAGTTGTCCGTACGCACCGTGAACGGTGCCGCGTGCAGGTAGTGACGCCAATGCCGAACGGCATAAACTACTGCGAGAACCTCACGTTCATCAGCGGTGTAGTTTATCTCGACGGGCAGGAGCTGACGAGAGTAGAAGGCTATCAGACAATCACCTGAGCGAGACTCGAAAGTGCTGTCCTCGGCGATGGTAGGAGAATAGTCAATAAAAGGCTCATCAGTAGCTAGACGAGTAGGCGCCAGTCGGGAAGCAGTGGTAGGGGTAGGTGGTGGGAAGCGAGGGATACGAGGATGAGAGGAATCAGGAGAGGAGGGGAAAACCTGAGAAAGCACTGCTCCTATAGCAAAGTCTGATGCATCGGTGGTAAGGATAAAAGGGCGATTAAAATCAGGTAGGTGAAAAACCGGTGTGCATGTCACTGCCTTCGTGAGGGCGCGGAAGGCGTCCTCGTGGAGGGGTATCCAAGCCCAGGGTGTGTTCTTTCGGAGGAGGGTGGAGGTAAGGACGTAGGAATACCTAGCATATCCCTGGATGAAATTACTATAGTAGTTGGTTAGGCCTAGGAAGTTGCGAAGCTGCTTGGCGGATGTGGGAGCGGGCCACTTCGCAACAGCAGTGATCTTCGCATCGTCCATGTGGAGACCCTGGTCAGACACGTAGTGTCCTAAGAAATTCACTTTGTGCTGGGCAAAGCGGTACTTGCTCAGCTTGGCGTAGAAGCCATGTCTGCGCAAGCAGTCAAGGACATCGCGGAGGTGTCTGAGGTGCTCCTCAAGGGTACGACTGTAGACCAGGATATCGTCGAGGTAGACGAGAACGTACTGCTCCAGGATGTCCCTGAAGATGTCGTTCATCGCCCTCTGGAAGGTAGCGGGTGTGTTGGTGAGGCCGAATGGCATCACCGTAAACTCGTAGTGGCCGAAGCGTGATCGGAACGCGGTATTCGGCTGGTCGGCTGCAGCGACGCGGATCTGATGGTAACCGCTACGAAGATCAATCTTCGTAAAGAAGCGGTTGCCTGCTAGGCGGTCGAACAGCCCATGGGAACGAGGCATGGGGTAGTTGTTCTTAACCGTGTAGCGGTTGAGACCTTGGTAGTCGATGCAGAGACGGAGAGTTTCATCCGCTTTGCGAGCAAAGAGGACGGGTGCACCCCACGGGGAGTTGATGGGTTTAATGAAACCCAGTCTCAAGAGCTTCTCAAGCTGACGCTTGAGTTCGGTGGCCTCGGGATCGAGAGTCTGTAGGGTGCCTGGTGGTGAACACGATAGTCAGGCACAAGCTGGATGGAGTGCTCCACGTCGCGCATCGGTGGGATGCCAGCGTACGAGAACGACGATGGGAAAATGTCGCGGTACTCTCGAATAAGGTCACGAACTGCGGGCTCCAGGTCAGCCGTATATCATGCGAGTTCAAGTTCCTCATCGTCCGCGTCAGCGTGTGACGGCGGGGTGGACTCGACGGACGGCGGAGGGACGCAAGTAGAGATGGGAGCCATGAAGATAGAAGGAGGATCTGGCTCCAGAGGGATGAGCTCGGTGTCGGGTAGGGTGGATCATAGTGTAAGAGATCCGTCACGTTCACCATAAAGAAGGTGACGTCGTCCTGTCGGATGAAGTAGGCGAACTACCGAGGCGAGGTGATGGTGATAGAAGGAGATGGTGTGGGCACGAAAGGCTCTGGGGGAGGAGGATCGGGGTGTGGTATCGTAGTGGTACCTATGAAAGGTACGCGATACGTCTGTCCACACATCGTTTCGAGAACGAGAGTGTTGGTCGCCCAATCGGCCTCGGTGTTGCGGAACCGACGAGATCACAGAGTGTCGCGAATGAAGTCGTACCCCGTCTTCATCACATCAAAATGTGCAGAGGAGCGGTGGCGATGAGACACCGGGGGACGATCAGTCGGCTCGAGAGTGAGTAATAAGGGGAGGTCGGTTACCGTCCGATCGAAGAAGCACTGAGTCTAATCATCCCCTAGGGTAACGGAGATGGGAGTCGGAAACCTTGTCGTGGGTAAGCGGGCTTCTTTCACCACACGTGGGTGAATGAAGTCGCCCTGAGAACCGGAATCCCACAGCGCTGAGTACACCCTCGTGGAGGTACCGAGTCGTACTGGGATAATCGAGAGGGTGCGATCAGGGTCAGAGAGGATGGTGAGAAGGCGACGCAGAGCAGCGACATGGAGGGTGAGTCGCTCCTGACGAGCCTGGAGCATGCTCAAGTCCAGAAGAGAGGACGCAATATCCTCGCGAGTCGCAAGCTGCTCGCTGCAACGGGCTGAGCGAATGGCTCGACGCGTCAGTAGTCCCGGTGGGGTAGGAGGCGAGACGGTGGTCTGCGGAGGCGCAGACGGTACCGCGACAGAGGGCTGAGTACACTCTGTCGGATCCTGCGAGACCTCAACTCCAGAAGCGAGAGGGGCAAACCACGACGGGGATGTCGGGAAGCCGACTACTGAGGAGGGCGCAGGTGTACACTGCACTGTGGCTAGGAGGCGCCGCGGGGATGCAAGGCGCCGGGGGGGGACTGAGCACGACGCTGGCGGGAAAGGTCAGCGTAGTGGTGGGCAAGGGCGGTGGTGTAAGGGCACCGCGAGGAGGTATGACCGTCCTGACAACATCGCAAACACCCATGCCGGCCCAAAATAACCGCGCGCTCCTCAGCGGAAAGGACACCGCGAGGAGGGACAAAGCCCTGAGGGAGGTCCTGCTGAGGGACCTCGGGGGGCGACCCGCCAACGTGACGAGGGCGGCTGCGTGCCCGGGAAAGGGTGGGGAGGATGAGCTGGTGGCGCTCAGCCATAGGGAGAGTAGGGTCCTCCAGGAGGTGGTGGACGACCTTGCCGAGGTCGAGGTCGTCGCTATGGTCACCCTCAGGCGACAGCGGGGCACCTGCGTCCTGCTCACCATACTCGAGCACGCTGAAGCGGCGCGAGAAGTGGCGGCCCTGCTGCGCGGAACGGCGGGGGCAACCGTGGAAAGAGGAACGGCGTTGGGAAGTGTCGTGAGAGGAGGAGGAGGCGTAACCAGTACGCTGGGGCTGAGAGGAGGAGGCGGGGTGAAGACGGGCCCGCATCCGCTGATGGTCCCTGGCGGCCTCGTAAGCCTGCGGGGCGATGTGAACTTGTACCGCCATAACTCGGAGCGGTACTCGAGCGGGAGGCTGGCCAAGAAACGATCGATAAGGGCAGCCTCGGGGAGGAACGCCACGTCACAAATGAGGTGGGCGTCCTGAAAGACCTAGATGTGGCGATCCAAGCCGACAGCGCCACCAGAGCCGGACCAGCGTGTAGTGACGATACACTCGAAGGCGTCAATCACGTCATATCGGGCTCCGAAGCGATCCTCGAGGAACGCCTGAAAATCCATGAAGGTCGGAGTCCGACCCTCACGAAGGGAGTAAGCGTAAAAATCCTCCCAGGCATCGAAAGGATCGCCACGCAGGCGCGTGGAGAGGTGACCCACCCACGTGTTGGGTGTGGCGCCCATGAGCTAGAGCGTGCGGGTGGCAGACTGATGCCACCGAGACACGCGTATACCTATACCATCATACAGGGCAATGTCTGACAAACGGATGAGTGGTGCGCCACCGTTTTGACGGCGAGGGGATCGAGGAGCAGAGGTCTGTGCCACGGCTGAGTAAGTCGGCGCCGGTCCTGGAGAGAGGGGCGCAGCTGACTGTGCGCCCGAGCCCGATGGGGGAGCGGCGGGGGCAACTGCGGCAGGCTTCGAGGGAGTTGTGGTAGAAGAGGTCGCAGCAACCGCAGGAGTAGGAAGAAGGTAGGATGGGGCTGGATAGGGTGCAGGGCGCGGGAAGCGAGCCTGTATGGGAGAAAGGGTAGAGGAGGTAGGGGGTGCGCCCGAAGGTGCGGCCACCTGTGAGGATTGGGGTGGCCGAAGGCATAAGAGGGTTAGGTCGACCCAGATCTGGGCAAGTTCGTCCTCGAGACGTTTGACGTGGATCGAGCGAGGAGTGGCAGGAGGAAGAGTGGAGGAAGTGGACGCACAAGCGGCGTAGGGCATCCTAGAGGGGGGAGAACCAGGTGGCGCTGCGGTCGTGCGAAGGGAAGGGAGAAGCGGGGCATGCGGAAAAGCTGGGACACCATGGTAGCGGGTTGTGGTACCGTGGCCGTAGTGACCGGAATCTAGGCGGGTGCGCCCGTAAACTGAAGGAGGGCCTGACTCGTGGCGGCCATCGTGCTAGGGGCGTGGACAGTCACCAAGATGGTCGGGKCGGGGGCAGCGGAGGAGGAAGCTCCGCCGTGGCCACCCTATCCGAGGACGGGGGACCCGGACTGGGAGCCAGGAGATGAAGGGCAAGCAACGTCTTGGAGTTGTTGCATGCCGACGGCAAGGGTCGCCACCTGCACCTATAAGGGCGCGAGGGTTGCTAGTTGCGCCTAGATGGGCGCAAGGAGGGAAGTGATGAGGGTGTGCAGATTCCCCTGGGGCTGGTGGCCCTGGTCCGTCGGCACGGGTGTGGAGCCCTGTGTCGTGGTCGTCGCCGCGTCGGCGGCGTGTGACACACCGTCGGCCATGGGGAGGTGACGGGCCGGACTGGAGGGGGCCAGGAGAGGTCCGCGTGAGCGGAGGGCGTAGGGGGAGGTCCGCGGTAGAAAGCGGCGGACGGCGCTAGCAAGGCTGGCGCAGGCAGCGTCAAAGGGGGAGGGGTGGTTCGGGTCCAGGGTGCCCGAATAGGGAAGGGGAGGTAAGGAGGTTTGAAAAACCCTAAGAAAACCCTAATCGAAGTTTTAGTGGTTAGGGTAGGGTACCGATGACCTAATCAAGAAAAGAAAATAGTAAGCATAGGGGGGGAAGGCGGGAGAAAAATAAATGAGCAGCGAGATTTCAAGAGAAAAACAAAAGAAAATAAATAATAAAAATAATTAAGGGAAGAAGTAAACAAAATGTGAAAAGAAAATTTTTTGAAATTTTCGGCAACATTTCCTTATCCCCCATGGAGTCAAGAATGTGCCAAGGGGAAAGGAGAGACCGAGATAAGCACACTAGGTTTCAAACTGCCGCAAATAAAAAAAAATCAGAAAATAAATAAAAAAATAATAAATATATAGATAAATAAATAAATAAGTAAATAAGTGGATGAGGAGGTGGAGAGAAATGAAGTATCTGATTTTTCAAAATTTTTTGCGGCATTTCGTTACCCCCATGGGGTCGAAGTGCGCCGAAAAAGACTAAGTAAGAAAAAATCAGAAAATTTCGACAGCACTTCGTTACCCCCACGGGGTCAAAACGTGTGCCGAAAGCAAGAAAGACTAACACCTAATCAGATTTAGGGTTGCCGTAAAGAAAATCGAAATTTCATAGAAAAATAAATGAAATAAATCAAAAAATGAGAAAAGAAGGTGGGGAAGAAGATAATTCGAATTTTTGGAAAAAAGAGAAAAGATAAATCAAAAGAGAGATGGAAAGAAGAAAATCAGAAGAAAAAATCGAAGTAGGAGGGAAGGGGAATGAAAAAGTAAAGGAGAAAAGAAAGAAATAGGTGGGAGAGAGAAAAAGATGAAGTGGGAGGTAGGGGGATGGTGTGGTGGTAGTTGGGGGAGAGGAGGGTGAGAGAATGATAGAGAGAGGGATGGGGAAAGGTGGAGAGGGATCAAGAAGCAAAGAGAAAAGGAGGAAAGAAAAGAAAATAAATAAAGAAAAGAGAGTAAGAGAATAGGTGGTGGGAGAAAAGGTGGGGTATGAGTAAGAGGAGAGAGAGAGAGACATATGGAGGATGGGTTAGTAGAGGAAGGGGAGAGAGAGAAGTGATACCTGGCCCTTGGTGTCTCCAAGGGCACAAGGTATACCAAGACCAGGAGGGTCTTGGCCTTCGCTGCAGCAAGCCAACTGGAGGAGAGAGGGGGCTGAGATCTTGATCA